TCAAAATGGTGGAGAAAGGAATGGAAAGAAATTTTTCAATTTTGACATAATGTGGTAGCGTTCATTTGATTGAATCCAGAATTGGAACAGACGAACCTCGTTCAGAACTCACCAATCAAGTGCCACCTTTGTTCACTTGTACAACTAATGAACAGATAGTGGTATACAGAGCCAAGATGAGACTCCAGATTTAGAAATGCTTGGTACTTTGTTCACACCCAATACCAAAAAACAGCGAAATTCAATGAGCACTTACAAGAATCAACAACGACATTATATTCGGCTACAACTCTTTCTTGATTATCTATAGCTTTATATCGGCCCTCATCAGATACTGTTATCTCTGGTATAATTAATGAATTATCTTGAGCTAATATATGCCTAGGACTAGATAGCTTTGAGTCATTCTTTGTCCAGATAACAGTTCCACTTATATGAAGTTTAAAATCCACTTTTAATGATAGGGAATGACCTGCAGATCTTCTTAATTCTTTTGATTCTGAAAAAAATATATAGACATATTTAATATAAAGCATGTATATCTCTTAAAAAGTTAAGTTAGACCTACTGAAAATTAGATTTTTTATCTAAATGAATTGCCAAAATAAAAGTTATTATTTCATTAATAACAAAATTAAAAGGGGTAAAAAAAAGAGATTTTTGGGGATATTTTAGCTACTACTTGAACCATTCTATGCCGGTTTATTTTGCAATTACAGACAACTGTAGTCATAATAAAGTTTTCTTTCTCTGGAAGCACAGAAACTTCAGACGTTTGTGAAATCAGAATTATGCAATTAAGCTTTATTTACACTTTTTTTTTTCAGTTACAAAATGGTCACAACAAGCAATTTTTATATTGAAAACTGGTCATTGTTGCAGTGCAAGTTTCAAATCCAAAATAAGAAGTTTGGTCTGAAAACCAATTTAGTTATTTAATGTATCAAAGTTTTGTCTTTACTTACCATACAATGGTGAGCTTAAAGCATTTTCTATGGCATTTTCTAATGGTATTGTCATATCAATATCTTTATAAGTTATTAAACTGAAGTTAAAAGTTACAATTTCAAGATATTATTATGTATTGAAGAGCACACTAAAGGGAAGCAACTCTCATCTTACTTGTTGCACCAAAACATCAAATTAAATTCAAAAGATAATGAAGCTGAACATTTCCATTTATGCGAAAATAATACAGAATAACCATAAAATGGCGTATGATATGTAATAAGACAGTTCCAATGCATTTAGGGTATTGAATCCTCATCAGTCCTGCTAGTTTTGAAAATGGACGATTTAAATGTATATGGGCAATGTAAAGAAACTTACTGAACCCATCAAACATCTCCATAAGTCTGATTAATATAAACAAAATGGCTTTTGTTAAACAACAAAATTACCAAGAAAAAATGACATGAAGTTTCAAGTTTCAATTTTTCAGTTGACAAAAATGACAGCATACCTTTGAGTATTTTTATCTTTAATTGCCACACATTCATTTTTTATTTCGTTCCAACCACAATATGGATCAAATATACAGAGATCTATTTTACTGTATCTATCACAAGTTAATACATTGAGTTGTACAACTGATGTATCTGTACCAAGATACACATATTCATTCTGAAATTATACAGAACAAATATTTGTTATCAAATTATAAAGCATATTTGTTATTAAATCATAAAGAATACATATTTGTTATCAAATTATAAAGCATATTTGTTATCAAATCATACAGAACACATATTTGTTATTAAATCATAAAGAACACATATTTGTTATTAAATCATAAAGAACACATATTTGTTATTAAATTATAAAATACACATTTGCTACTAAATTATAAAGAATACACATTTGTTATAAATTATACTGAAAACATAACTATTATCAAATTATAAGGAAACACATATTTAATATCAAATCATAAAGAACACATATTTTTTATTAAATAATAAAGAACACATATTTTTTATTAAATAATAAAGAACATATATTTTATATTAAATAATAAAGAACATATATTTTTTATTAAATCATAAAGAACACATATTTTTTATTAAATCATAAAGAATACATATGTTTTATTAAATAATAAAGAACACATATTTTTTATTAAATCATAAAGAACACATATTTTTTATTAAATCATAAAGAACACATATTTGATATCAAATTATAAAGAATACATATTTGATATAAAATCATAAAGAATACATATTTGATATCAAATCATAAAGAACACATTTCTGTTATCAAATTATAAAGAACACTGGTGTCAAAATTTAACTTCACAAAATAAAAAGGATAATATTGAAAAAACTTACATGTAAACTCATACTCCATACTGGTGTAGGTTGTTCAAATGGATTGTAAGTGGTTGATAAGATAGATTTAGGTGCTTCTAATACTGATTGGGATGGTTTAACAAATATCTTATAGACTAAACCCGTATCTAGAAAGATGAGATCATAAAAAATTTGGTTTGTTTTGTTTTTCACAGTGTGCTCATCAGCAAAAGTTTTTCATGAATTACAGGAACCACTGCTATCTGACCCAAAAGTGTCAGAAAACCAGGTTTAAGCGAATTTTTTTCTTTCTAAAATACTGAATGCCACTCTGTATAGAGGTTTGTCAACTTCAGCTTCTAAATAACATTATAACATTGTGCCTTATGTCACCTTGGTGCTTTAACTTAAAATATGAGTTCTTTGAAGAGAATGCTTTTTCCATATACAAAACGATTTCTCCATCTTCACATTGTCAAGCTATCTCCGTCTTATACTGTTTCTCATTCTGTGAAATCTGTGATACAGGAAAGGTGGCTATTGCAGTCAAGGTATAAGACAAAGCTTGACATTAAGAAGATGCACCATACCCTGATTCACTGCACTTATTATAAGAGAATAATATACTTACTACTAGCAGTATAGAAGACCATTTCACCATTACCAGATACATTAGCTTCAACAGCTAATCTTAACATTAAACAGTTGCCTTTATAGAATATAGGTCTACCAAACTGTTGGTTCACTGCTTTATCCATCAATGGTCTATCTTTAACAAAGTTGATAACACGATCTGGTAGAGACCTAGAATCTTGGATTGAACACTGAAACACAATATCAAATCAAAATATAAAAAAAGATATACAATATACACAATCAGAGTTTTTATATCAGACGTTATACATGATGGCACTCAATTGGCGAGCTCTGAACAATTCAGGTCTCAATCAAACGGTCACTGCCATTTTGAATTCTGTCTACATCTACCATATTCCAAACTTGTATTGTTGAAAGTCAGACTGATTCCAATCTTCTGAATTCCTTTCACTAGGATTAAAGGCACAATAAAATGGAATTAAACAGAATGAACATTTTTGATTGAACATTGTGCCGATTTATAAATTTCTGCTTACTTACATTGCCTGGTCTTGGGTAAGGAACATCAGTTTCTGGAACAGGTAACCAGTTGCCTTTATTATGATACTGATCTTTAAATGGTCCATTGAAAGCTTTCTCGATCTCTGTTACAGAGAATGCACAGATGGCTGAAGCTGTTAAACCATTTCTGAAACAGAAGAAACAGATATACAAATAAAATAGATTAAACCTTGTGTATGTGACCTCAAACAGGGTACATTTGCAGAAAGTTCTTCCTTGATTTTTTGACAGTATCGTATGTTAAGATGTAGTTGTAATTTCAAATTGATCTGGGCTTTTAATATCGTATTATTACTTTGCTGTAAAACCACTATAACCAAAGGATTTTCTATATTTTGTGTCCACAGATATTTTACTTTAATTATCATTTCCTAGGAGGGATGTAACAGAAGAAAAAATAGACATTAAGCTATATACACTTACATATTAGTTGTGAATAAACCATAAAATGTCAATCCATCCACAGTATAAACATCCTCTGTAAAATCAAATCATTTTTTAGAGTCACTTAAAATGAAAACCAAGACAATAAAGAGGAAAATTGTACTAAAAAAGTCCAAAAAAGACAACAAATTGAGAAATTGTGTTTTTCAATGCCGCCCAATCAAATTAACATGTTAAAATAGATGAGATTTCTAAGATTTCTCTACAAATTAATTTTGAATAAACTTACGTATTTCATCAAAATAATACGGATATTCTCCTGGTATAGAACAATTTAATCTGGCTTTTTGAAATGAGGTCCAAACGTTATTTAATACTGCTTTACCTCCACGATCATTCTACAATAATAAAATAGATTGGCACTATAGACAGAATCTTTCACAATACTATTAAAACTAAGTCATTCAAAGAGATCTAAAATATTTGCTTTACCAGGTAACAGATCAATTTAAGCCATCTGTATCCTTTTTTAAAATTCAAATCCAATATCAAGCTTCCTAACTTTAAAAAAACCCTTGTGAGAGTAATTCCTTCAACAATGCAGTAACGACTTTTTGATATTTTTTGTGTCTAGCTCTACCAAAATACTGCAAGAAGGCAATCCATGCCAGTAAAGATATCTGAACATATTACTTACCTTACAGATTCTGGCTATTCTAGAATAGATCTTTTTACCACAGTTTTGATACTCTAATGCTACCTCTCTTAGAAAGAAATAAACTTGTTGTCCAACATCAAATGATCCCACAAACTGAGGTTCTAAAACACAAAACACACAGAGTCTCATATTTACATCCTGTCCAAAAGACATAGTCCACTTCGGTAGAAATATAAATGTATTGAAACAGAGTTTTACATTCTTGTCTGCACTTCCATGGGCTAATGAAGACAGGACACACAGTGTTCAATGAGGTCTATTTGCCACACAGCTTATTTAGGTTGAAGAAGTATTACTTACCATTAAGCCATTTAGGATCATTACGTAATGTTCTAACATAAGCAGCTGATTGAGCACCATTTCTATGATATAAAGCTGGTCTGAATATTAGAGGATCAGCTTTGATAAAGTCTGTGACAGTGCCAGAATATAATGCTGCTACATTGCCAGGATTATCATTTTCTGAAGAACAAATGTTTGGAAATTAGTTGAAATTTATCTTATGGTAAGGTATCCATGGTTTATTCATCTAGATTTTCAAGTGTAGGTCTACCATCTTCTTCTCTTTTGTTTTTCTAAGCAGCTATTTTTTGGGAAAAATCTGTTGACAGCAATTTTTCCTGCAGTACCTTTTTACTTGAATTACTTGAAATAATAAGATAAGGTTACTAATTGCCATTTGAACAACAACTTTTCCTCCACAAAAAATCAAGAACCAGAAGAACAGTTCATCAACAGTTTCAACTATTGATACTTACCAACCAAGACAGCTGTAGCATTGTCAAAAGGATCATAAGGACACATTCCAATACCACTAACTTCAGACTGTATAGAGAGTTTATTATACTGGATCTAGAAGTAATATAATATTTCTCTTATTACTACATCATTTCTAATATTACATTATAACTAATTGTACTAGTTACTGAACTTTCACTCAGATATGCTGGTATTTATGACATTAATGTGCTTTGAACAAGGTCACGTGACACCGCGAGTTTGTCAAACTTGCTTCTTGATTAGCATGACATGTCTAGTAGGGCCTACATGACATTCAACAGGTATCCAAATGGGACTGAACATAACTGCATGCTTCAACTGTTTGGAAATTATATAAGGAATTGAAATGTGTGATTAAAAGAGGTATTGCATTAATCCTTAGAGGAGTTAGTTTAAGCAAAGGGTTAGCCCTATTTTTAGTATTTTACTTACATTTATTTGGTAACTTTTAGGACTATATGCTCCTGTTGCACAAACAAATAAAGTATTTGGTGAACTAATGTTGGTGGCTATAAATTTCACATGACTTTGACAATCTGGCATCTGAAGAATAATAAAATACAAATCACTATATAGAAATCTGTATTCCATTTGGAGATTTCCCAGAACTTCAATAAATATTCATTATTGTCATATTTCCCTCTAGAAAAACTATAAATTCCAAAAGTCCATCTAAGATTAACTAAGTTCGCAAGAATATTCTGTCATCCAATAGATCTGCAAACGAATTTCTTGCCAAGGCAATATTTCCCTCATTACACACAGATTGGTGTTGCCCTTTTTCATTGCCCCAATCAGAATCAGAAGAGTAGGACATAAGTCCATTTCATTTCAATGTGCACACCTCTATCCAAAAAGTGTTTACACTAAATAGCAGTGAGCATACGGCAAGAGTTAAATGAAGGGGAAATAACTCCAAAGCTACTTACCTCAGTTTTGCCTTGAATGTAACATCTTCTAACATCTCGACTATTGGGACTTAGATCTTGTCTTTTCACTTTAGTTTTATCAGAGATATCTTCAAGACTTAAAGAATATAGAGTATTCCTGAAAATAAAATGAAAATTTTAAAGCAAATTCATAGACAAAAATTGACAGTTCAGCAATTTTTTTGCTTTAGTCGTACATGTACAAATTCAGTTGTTAAAGAAAATTTTATGCCCATTCTAATAATAAAAATAGAGTCATAAGATTGGAATACAACAGAAAGTTCATAACACACACATCATGTAACTATGATCTTAATCAATAACACATTCAACGGAGGTCAAATTAATCAAAATTTTTCAATCAAGGAATGTTTTGGAAAAGGAACCTGAGCCAACTCTGAATCAGAAAGTGTCATGTCGGATTTAGTGTTTACACCAAGTATTGGGTAGCTATACAAATTTTGCAATGGGTTGCTCTTTAAAGTCTAACAATGTCTAACATTTAAGTCGAATCAATCTAACAGTTGTTTCTTTATCTCAACATATCAACAGAATCAAGATAATATCCCAAATTGTTACATAAATTTCTAATGTTGGCAATATAACAGAAGACAAAAAATTCCTTCGTTCTTTAAATTTATAGGTGAACAATAACTATTCACACTTAAGAAAAGAGACACCTGACTTAAGACACACGTCAATTTGATTTCAGTTCAATAAGATTGCCGTTAAAATGACAAGTCTAAATGATGGTATGTTTTAAAAGGCACATAATCCTAAATATGATGATGATCAAATAGATCATATTTCTGTATCTGTAGCCCTCATAAAAATCCAGGAGAGCATACGTTGAAAAAATATCTAAGGGGAAAGGTCCCAAACCACAGCAGCTACTGCCAGAAAGCGAAATCATTCATCAGTTTCCATAGAAAAATCAAGTCTAAAAACTTTTGAAGTACTGGTAGTTAAATCATTTATATCATTCAAAAAAGACTGTAAAATTGGCTCAGTAACAAATGGCACAAGATATCTTTATTGTGATGACATTGTTGATTTGTTTATTGGAAGAGAACTGAATGTTGTTGACAAATAATCTATGTGTAAATGTTTATTTCCATGAGCCACAGTTTTAACAAGTGTCTTCATGTTTCTCTGTATTGTTCATAATATGCCTTCTTTTTGCGAATAGCCTGTTTTAGTTGCTTAGAGTATCTTGATTGTTTGGATGTCTATTGTTTGGTCCTCTTTTTGTGATCATTGTACAAGTAGACACAGCTTTTACTTAAGATGAAATCCAAGTTAAATGGTAAAACCTTCTTTAAAAAAGAATCACCCATTCTTCGTGGGGGAAGCTAGTTTGATATTGCACCACACAAACTTCTTTCATTTTATCATCATCTTTGACTGTAATTGTTATGAACTTCAATCCCCCCAAAAAGTCAAGTACAGTGCAAAATAATTTATAATGGAGAACATTTATAAAAAAAAAAAAACTTTTACCACAGCATTTTAAATCATTTAAAGTGGAAAACTAAATTGAAAAATTAAAATTTGTCCTTGTTTATATCCCATGACAGGAATTTAAAGTAACCTTCCCACCCAAAATATTTTCCATGAAAGATATTCCACAATAAATATTTGCCCTTTAGCTTATTATGGCCCCGCCTTTAAATTCTTCAATTTGAAAGAATTGATGATTCAAGATAGACAATTTTTCTATGGCATGAAAAATAAACAGTCTTGTCAACAGGAATCAAAATGTCTATAGATTTTTTTTGAGATTATTTACTTTCTTTAACCACACAAGAAGCCTTGTTATTTTACCAACAATTGTTTTTCTAAATACTACGCTAGCTTAAAGGGGATTCAAAATTCATCAAAATAATGGTTAGATTTAATGAAATGACAGTAACATGGGTTTCATCTAGAAGTATCAAACCTTCAATCTAAACCTTTATTGAAAGTCCTGAAAAACTTTTATTACCAGATGATATCAGAATACAAATGGCATTTAAGACAACTTATTGCAACAGATAATCAAAATTTACTCAAGTGTTTTTTTCTCTATTACAAGAACCACAAACATAAGATAGGATATCAAAATGGAAGTCATGAACAGCAAAGATACATCTCTTTTGAATCTCTTTAATGCAACCTAATTCTGTTAATTTTAAACCATCTGCAGCGCTACATCATTTTCAACAGCAGTACCACTGACTGAGCTACTTCTAACCACCTCAAGATGGATATCCAATGAACATAGCCCCACCAGATGTGTACTGTTATATGACAGAAGAACAATGTACCAAGTTTGATAGATGTGTCCAGTAATACCAACCAATGTATAACAGGTAAACCTATGTTCAACAAGAACTGGTTTTAACAACAAGTCCGGTAATTTATGAGGTTAAGTACCGTAATGTATGTAAAATAGATGCCAAAATAAATAATAGACCCAATTAACTTCATGTAGATGACCAATTATAATTGGTAATGCCAAGTTCCTGTTTAAATAACTGACTTTTGGACAAAAGAAAAGAAAAAGAAACAAACAATTTATTTTACAAGATTAACAATTAAGGATCCTTTCTACTAGCTGGTCCTTGGTCAAACCTCTTGGTCCTTGGTCAAACCTCTTGGCATTGATCTTTCTCATACATGCATATTGTGAGTAAAGATAACTTATTATTCAAGATCATCGAAGTTTCACACGTTGGTCAAGATCAGAACCGAAAAAATACATAATGAAGAATAACAACGTTGATGAGAAAGAATTTTTGATGCATTCATCCTTTACAAGGTGTGTTCTTTTCTGGTGTTCAAAGCAAAACTATACACCATCTCGTCTCCTAGCAAAATGTGTGATTTCTTAGCAACATGCTTCTATGGAAACCTTACTTTTTCCATTGATTTCTTGAAATATTCATTCTAGATATGGTTTGTTGGAAATTAACAAGTTACCCCAAGCGTTGCCAATGTTTTAAAAAGAGAAATAATGAGAGGAATCTATCATGAAAAGGAGTTGTACTGACAGAAGAATTCAGAACAGATTAAACTTGTCGTAATCATTGCCAACTATTTACTAAATGTATTTATTATAAAAATATCTCATGAACTGCTTTCGTTTGTTTTACTATTTCTAACTTAAGACAACCAATCGAGGACACTGATAGTATCAACTTGCACCATTCCAATTTTCTATCAGATGTCTGTGGTTCCTGCAATTCCAGTTAAAACTAAAGATTTAAAGATGTCACTAATCAAAAATATGCTTTATCACATAAGGACTTCGCATTATGTGACATCATCAAACACTTAGTTTTAGTGCAATTGCAAGAATCAAAGACATCTGATTGAAAATTGGAATGATGCATATTGAAGCTATCAGTGTCCCCAATACATAAAATAATTAGAAAACCTCTTTACAATCACTTTAAGGCATTATTTGAGATAAAACATTTAGATTTTTTAACTTTTTTAAGTTATGCCGGTCTTACCAGCTGACAACAGAAAGGTGTCTAGTCATTCAGATGTGCCACAGTCTGCTCATGTAAAAGATCCTTGGATGGAATAATGCGACTGTCTTAATCATATTTCCCTCATTGCAGACTGCATGGCTATGGGTATCTTGAGTTCAATTAGGAACATAACAGTACATGTCAGTATAGTGTTTTAAATAGAAAAAAAATGGTGTATATGAATACACAAGTATTCAGGAAAAAATATTTGCACCTCTTAAAAACACAAAAGCTAGGGATGATGAGATTTAAAGCAAATACTTCCCTAAACTTTTTTGAACACCATAGTCAACATTAGTAATCTAAAGTAAATTTAAAATTAGACTTCATTAAACCTCATTTTGTGTCACTGCACTAAAAAACTAGATTTTTTCTATTTGAGGTACACATTGTTTTTGTCTCTCTGGGTTGACTGGGGTACAAATAGATTGAAATATATTGTACCTTGACTAAGCTACTTAGCATGTATGTTCAAAGTACATAATATACTTTTGGACCTTCAAGTTGCATAATTGAAGAGTTGTAAGGTTGCTAAATGAATAAAGCGAAACCGAAGAATATCAGATTAGGGTTGAACATTTCTGCACATTGGTATCTAGATGTATTGTCATGAATTGATGAGATCTCAGGCAAGTTTAAGATTGACGATAATGCACCAAATTATTTCAGAGTTTCTGCCCTTGACATTCTCAAAGTGGGTTTGTAAGCTCTATATATGCTCCATTTTTTGACCAATTTTTGTTATCATGGAAAACCAACTAAGGACATATGTTACATTGCCTGACAAACTCTCCTTGGAATTTCATGCAATTTATTTTGCATATTTCAATAATCACGCAACTATTTGAATTTTTCTTATTCTGGATTAAAAGATTTTTGTTGATAAGCTGACATATTTTGATTACAAAAAATCAGATTTTCATTATTTATTTATGGGCAAAAATTATCACATACTTGAAGTTAATGAGAGGCAGGTGTGGGATATTTCAAGTATTTAATATAATCAGTGAGCAAGTCAACATGGTTTACACCAGCCAGTTACAATAATCTCTTGTTATGACTACTTTCCTCCTGTTAAACCCTGCTTTAACAAGAC